CTTTTGTAGTTTTGTTGGGCTATTATATTTTAATAGTAAAACGGCCACCATTTATCATTATTAACAAATAGTATTTACATCGATAAAATAATAAAGTATAACAGAATTTCTAGACTTTTGAGAATCTGTCATGATGATAACTAGGAAAGATGCCACATCTATATTTATTAAAGGCATTTATAATTAACTTTTAGTAAACGTTGTAGTAGAACAGAACTAAAAACAACCCTATTATAAAGGATCTGCTGCTTAAGAAATTTGTTAATCTTTCGTTCATCATAAAAGTTAAAATCGAATAACAAAATCAGTAAAATGATTGATCGTTTTATTAAAAAAATGTAATAAGATAAATCTAACGTTTCAAAATTTGTTTGGAGGATTGCTTAGATTATAAGCTAACAACTTACTATAAACATTAACAACCATTTGTAAGGGTAGGATTTTTAATGGTAACAAAAAGAAAGATGCATCGAAGTTTGATAAAATTTAAAAAATATGTGAAATCTACGAATAACTAAGATCCTAAATACCAAGAGTTACGGAAACTAAACGTTTGGTGTTTTATATATTTTGATAAATTGTGAAACCATTCATTTCTGTAGGCTTTAATCGAGTAATTAAATATATAAAATTAATATTGTTTGTTGTGAGCACATATGATATCAACCTTCTTGATGAAATGTATAGTAAAGAATTATAATTTCTGATTACATTATTTCATACATATACATTTGAAATCATGAGTTCAGACCGATTTTTGTTATGTTTCTGAATCAGTGGCCTTGTTTTTTAGACTTAAGAGTACTGAAGACTCCTGAATCCATATTTATTTTTACAAGATTGCAGGTGCTTGAACAAGAACTGTGTAGCATCACTAATATGCCAATTTCTGAGCCTGGTTTGGTTGTTATTAAACACAAAGGGCTATCTGTGCTCTGCCCAACACGGGTATCGAAACCCAGTTTTTAGCGTCGTAAGTTTGCAGACTCACCGCTGAGCCATTGGGGGGGGCACCAATTACTGGGAAATAGTTTTCTAAAGGGGATAATTTATCTACATATCTGCTGTCACAGAAATTAAAGAACAAACTTGGTAAGTAAAACAAATATCAATAAACTCTTTCACTTTCATATGGTCCATCCCACTTCTAGAAAGTGTCTTTTCAGGTTTTATGCTGCCACTGTGGAAATTAAAACAGAAATTGAAAACGTATGAAGTCTATAAAACAAAATGTCAATGGTAGTAGAAATATGTAGAATCAAAGAAGTTGATAAATCAATCAAAATGTTAATGGTGGCATAAATATGTAGAATCAAAGAAGTTGACAAATCAATCAAAATGTTAATGGTAGCATAAATATGTAGAATCAAAGAAGTTGACAAATCAATCAAAATGTCAATGGTAGTAGAAATATGTAGAATCAAAGAAGTTGGCAAATCACATTTACAAAACCTTTAGTATTTTCGACCTGTCTTAATCAGAGATAAAAACTGACCCCCAGTACCAGCAGAGTTCGAGAACCTCAGAAGACACACATACTCCCCAATTAATTTCTCATTGGTTACTCTAGGACTAATTGACATTAATTTCAACTATTGAAGTGAGGAGTTGTAGAGTTGACTATTTCTAAGATAATTATACACTTAGCAAGGATATGGGTTTGGTGGTTGGTAAATTATCTACTCCATTATCAAAATTGGTGAACATTTGATAAGTCCACCTATTTGATTGACAACGTTTTGGTGTTTGGTAAGAACGCTTACCATGTTAGCAGTGACTTGTGTCCAATCTCACTGTTTCTTTATTCCAAAACTACATAATATCGACTGCCATCCTTGGAACAGTACTCACCCTGCAAGCTTTTAACAATTGAACATTAAATCTGAACAGTGCTGGATCTCTACACCGGAACCTCTTTGGTTTTTTGTTATTGTTTTAAAATCCAAAACCGGAAACTGTAATTAATTTCAAGACTGTCTTACTTGCATTGCGAATTGATATTTGAATGTCATCTACAGTACTTTCCTTCAGTCCTATCTAAAATAGTGGCCCCAAGAATGTTGAAATTGTTACCTTCCCAAAACCCCATATACTTTCTTCACCCGTCAACAGGGATCCAGTACATATTTTTATTATTAAAGAAATTAAGCTCTAAATTTGAACAATGAATATCTTCACCACAACCAGTTCATTTCCATATGACACTGGCCAGCTTGCACATTTAACAGTCTAGGGACATTTATAACAGAATTTCATCCATTGTTGTACTTACAGAATCGTATATCGCTGACCTCGAACATCATCGTATTTGTTATGTAATAAACAAGGCATCAAGGCTGGATTGCGTAGATGTTTAAATGTAGAATCTGTTGGTAATAGAGATAAGGAAAATACTTGTAATAAGATATGGGAACCATTAGAATGATACCTCGGACATAAGAAACTCACAGAAATTAGTGAGGAAAGATTAAAATGGTGAAATCCTGAACCAAAAGTGCCAATAAAACTTGTCAGATTTAAAAGTGTCGGTAATGTTAAACTAATTCATTCGAAATTACCAAACTCAAAGAGAGAGCGTGTGTGTGTGTGTGTATATACATAAAATATTTTAACTTGTTGTATTCCAACTATCAGTCCAAATAAATGTCCTAAAACAAATCTTAAAAAACATATCACAGTCAAAAAAGGATAAAAACGGTTTCAGTTTCATGTAAGCTAGAGAAATAAGAATAGTAAATTTATATGAACTTATTTAGGACACACGGGATTACGTCGTTGTCACATACTTTTGACTTTGTTGTTTATCCCGTGTAGTCCATATAACCAAGCATGTCAATCCTTAGTTGTCACTTTTCATGATCACAGTAAGTCTTCGTGAAGGAAACACATCTGGATTAGATATCAACCCTCATTAATCACGAACTGGTGGCTTTAATTTCAGCCGTTCCGCTCAGGAAGTGTGGATTAATCTCTGTGTTTGTAGACTTTGATCGATGACAACGTTCGTAGGCCTAAAATCTAGGGAGAATAAGATATGTATGTGTATATACAGTCTTGTTTACCTGTTTTTATGCTACATTGTTTGGTTTAGTATTTTGTCTAAATAGATGCAAAAAAATCTCAATAATGCGATGTATTTATCGTTTCGATTCTGTCTGTTCGTCCGTTAGTCCTCGCCCGGCATGGCCAGGTGGTTAGGGCGCTCGACTCGCAATCTGTGGGTCGCGGGTTCGAATCCCCGTCACACCAAACATGCTCGCCCTTTTAGCCGTGGGGGCGTTATAATGTGATGGTCAATCCCACTATTCGTTGGTAAAAGAGTAGCCCAAGAGTTTGCGGTGGGTGGTGATGAGTAGCTGCCTTCCCTCTAGTCTTACACTGCTAAATTATGGACGGCTAGCGCAGATAG